AGGCTTCTCATCTATTTTTTTATACGAAAAATGACTCATTTTCTAATTTTGCCCTCTCAATTCCACTAAGGCTGAGTAAGGAATTCGTGAAATTCGTAATTCGATCCAATCCAGTCTAATCCAGTAGGTTTGGATTGGTTTTTTGAATCCGTAATTCAGTTCCGGATTGAAAAATTAAAAATCCGTAGTTCACGGATTGGTTCCGGATTGAACCTCACGGTTTCGGATTGGAACCGATCCGGACCATATACAAATAGTCTATATTTTTATTATACACCCTCCTTCATAGTATCTTCTCTTATTTCATATAAAACTTAAATCCAAACCTAAACTTACATAGTATCTTCTTTTATTATTTTTGTTTGCTAGTTTTTGGCGTTAATTTGTAATGGTCTAAATACTTATGGTGAAACTAGTTTTCTTATGATTGTTTAAATTCTAGAACAACATGTCGCTATTATGAAAAGACATGTTGCTATTGTGAAACTAATATGATATTATATTTATATTTTTATAAAATTAAAGTGTTATATATATATTTTTTGTTATTTAATTATGTAAATCCGTGGTCCTAAGCCGATCAAATCCGTGTTTAAATGGATTGGTTCGGATTGGTACCACGTTTTAAACGGATTAGATTGGTTTCAATTTTTTAGGAACCGTAGATAACGGATTGGTCCTGATTTTATTCCAATCCGGTCTAATCCGGACCATGCTCACCCCTAAATTCCACCTCAATGATGTGGAATTAGGAGATTAAAGATGCAAAAAAAGAAGTGTGGGACCGCTTCACATAAGTCTTCGTCACGTCATTGAAAGTGAAATTAAGGAGACTCAATTAGGGATGTGGCATCTCTTTTTTTATTCCTCTGCAAGTCTTAGAGCATCTTAAACCTTCAAAATTTAGTATGTCAAATTTTTTTTTAAGGCTTAGATGGCAAATTAGCATATGCCAATTTGACATGAAAACTTTTCACTTGATATGTCAAATTTATTATTTTACTATTTTTAAAATTTGGACTTTTTTATCTATCGTTAGTCTTCTTTTATTTGACAAAAAAATAAAACATGAAGTGATTTTCATGTCAAAATTGATATGAAGGAGGGTAATGCCAAAAGTCAAATCAGCCTTTAACACACCACATAGAGTTCATTTAGTATGTTAAAATAGATCTATTAAACTTTCACATTGAATTTGACATATTAGGCGAATGTGTTCTTAGAACCCGTCAAATGTGTAGAACTCCAATTCTAAATCAAATTAAAAATCTATACTTTATAAGAGAATCACAACATGCAATTTAAATCCCCGAGTATGTAATAAATTTAATTTTTATAATAGGTAATGTTAGGGATACTAAATTTTTTACCAAATGAATGACCAAATGTCTCACGTGGGTGTAAGGTCTACAAACACATATTTGGTCATTTATTTAATAAAAAATTTGAGGCATATAGCATTTCCTTTACAAAAGAACTCACCTTTGAACTCTCTCCACGTATTATATGTATACAGATGTGTGTATATATATATATATATGTGTGTGTGTGTGTGTGCGCGCAAAAACGATGTTATATCATATGCAAATTATGATATTTGTGGGTTTAATTGCCACAAATTGTTGTTTAAAATTGTGAAATTAAATAAATAGATTTATGAAGAAAACAAATTATATACCAAGAACATATGCTGATAATTACAACTAAATTTCAACAGAAATACACAAAAAATAATAAAGGGTAAAGAGACAAAACCGAAGCCTGCACGGAAGCAGTTTCCTTAAAACAGATTTCGCCGCCTCACGGATCGAGTGCTTGAGGAAACCCGGCGTCTGTCTCCCAGGATACGACGGTCAAAACCAGCTACGGCAGAAACACTATCTGTCTAGCTTAGCGAACAAAACAATGGCAGCACTCTCTCACAATAGGAACTATCAAGCAAACTGACTTGTAAAATGGAAGCAAAAATTTCTATATTGAAACTTGACAGGAGGGTCTCAATTTATACATGTATAGGGGAGAGAGGAAAAGCCTCCAGCCTTTAAGGCTAGTCATTAAAACACCAAGCATCCATAGCCCCTTTCCACAAAATGAAAAGTATGGATGCCCAAAGGATTCACACCCTTTAGCCAAGAAAAAAGATTTAAATATTCTTTAAAATCCTATTCATGAATCTAACATCATGAAGCAATTTCTTGGCAATTTCTTATTCAAAATCCAATGGTTTTTGGCTCACTTGGACCCAACACAAAAAATGGTTAGGACCCACTTTAATATTTAATTAAAGTCACCACACTTTAATATTAAATTAAAGTCTCCAAAAATCATTTTTTTCCAACAATCCCCCACATGAATAAAAATTGACCGAATGACTCAACAAACGGACATCGTTCAACAAAAAAGACTCTGAGAGAGAGTACAACGGACTAACCCCGACATCAGAGAAGGTAGCTTTTGGCTTTGAACCTCTCCCAGTGAAAACCTATCGAGTTTACTGGCAGATCAGTAAATAAGACATCTTGAACTGCTTTACCGTTTATGTAAACTGAGACAATAGATCTCACACGGGAATTACTCCTAATTATGTTCTCACTGGTGTGCCCTGTGTGGCCCTGGACACTAGCTTGGTTCAGCGAGTGGTTTCAAAGAATCTTGGCCTGCCCAATTCTTCTAGAAGCGGCGCCACTTCAAACTCACATAGGTGACTCTACTAAAGTATCCCACAATACTTAGCTCAACATCTTAACACATAAGAGTCATTAAAAGCTCAGCTTATCCTCTACACTTGCAGGTATCACTAATAGAAGGAATGGCTGGAGGTTTAACCTCCTCAGTGACATACCACCGTTACACGTAATTAGGTTGTCCCATTGAACCTAGATCTCGGGATCTCTAGTCAACTAGGTTGGGTTTCCATTCCGGTAACTTCCAAAGGCCTTAACCCCATTCCTTTTGACGACGTTTCGACTAACACTCGACTTAACCCTTTGGTTAGTGGATCCGCAATGTTGTCCTTAGACTTTACATAGTCTAAAGAGACAACTCCATTCGAGAGTAGTTGTCGTATGGAATTATGTCTACGACGGATATGTCTAGACTTTCCATTATACATATTACTCTGTGCCCTACCAATTGCAGATTGACAATCATAATGAATACAAATAGCTGGCACAGGCTTAGACCAACGTGGAATATCTTCAATGAAATGGCGAAGCCATTCTGCTTCTTCTGTTGCTTTATCCAAAGCAATAAACTGTGATTCCATCATTGATCTAGATATACACGTTTGCTTAGAAGATTTCCAAGACACGGTTGCTCCACCAAGAGTGAACACATATCCACTAGTGGACTTTGAGTCTTTTATATCTGATATCCAATTCGCGTCACTATATCCTTCAAGCACCGCTGGATATAGAGTATAATGCAGCCCATAATCCCGAGTGTAGTGTAAATACCTTAACACCCGCACAATGCCCTTCCAATGAGAAGCATCAGGATTACTTGTGTATCTACTAAGCCTGCTAACCGAGTAAGCTATATCTGGCCTAGTACAACTCATCAGATACATTAAACTTCCAATTACCCGAGAATATTCTAACTGAGAGACACTCTCTTTATTATTCTTGGTAAAGTGTAGACTTAAGTCTACAGGTGTCGATGACACACTCGTATCTGATCCACTAAACTTCTCAAGTATCTTATCAACATAATGAGACCGAGAAAGTACAATTCCGCTAGAGATTCTGGTAATCTTAATTCCTAGAATAACATCTGCAATCCCCATGTCCTTCATGTCAAATTTAGAGTTTAACAACTTTTTGGTAGTTTTGATCATTTCATCGTTACTACCTATAATGAGCATATCATCAACATATCATGTTTATTTAACTGTTTTTCATGACATTATAGAAGGAAAAAAAACTAACTATTGTTACTTCTCCATAATTATATTCCACTCATCTTTTTCTTTTTTCGTTTATTTTTCAAATCCTTATCTAAACTTATGATTCAAATATAGCAATTAAGGTTTTCCGATGTACCTAAAAAAAAATATAGCAATTGAGAACTAGAGAGAGAGACAAGTCACTACAAAAAAATCAAGATTTAGTAGCGGCCAAAACTGTCGCTAAAAGCAGGAAAAAGCGTCGCTAAAAACTAGAACACCTGTACCAGCGGCTGCAATAGTGGCAGCCAAACCGCTGCAATAGCCCCGTCAGCAAATCCTTATAGTGACGTTTTCCGCAAACGCTGGTATAGTTATCTTTATTGCGACGGTTGATGTAGTGACAGTTATAAATGTCGCTACATCTTGAATTTACCAATTACTTGCTCACTTTATAGCGACGGGTCGACTGCCACTATATCCTTCACTTTTGCGACATTTTGTGAACCGCTGCTAGATTTTGACACTATTCCATCAGTTTTACAGTGTCGCTATAGCCATTGAATTCATTTTGAATTTTATTTACAGCGACGCTTATTAACCGCGGTTGTAGGCTATGTTTTTTTTTTTTTTTTTTTTGGGGGGGGGGGGGGGGGGGGAAAAACTACAAGATACAAGGGGTATACCCTAGAAGCTAACCAACTATACAAAGACACACAAACGAAAACACAAAAAAAGACAATGTAGACAGCGAAAACCATCATGTTCACACACCACATAAGCAAAGAGCAAATGAGAGCAAGAACAAGGCAAACAAGACAACAAAAAACCTAAGAGCAACATAACCTGGTTACACTGAAAAGATCCAAACAACAAAAGAAACTAGAAACAAAACTCAAAAGGCCATATTACAGAGACAATTTGATTAAAAAATGATCAAAACAGACACCATAACCCCTAAGACAGCAGACAATAGCAAACTGTGGGCAAATTGTTGATAGTAAACACCAGCCATAGCACCATGCACCAGTAGCAATGACACCAGGCATCAAAGAAAACAACAGCAGCCAACAAAAAAGCCAACAACCTGCTCACATTATATATCTATAACAACACTATTTTATTCTAATGGCTCAATACTCAATAATTGTAAAAGGTAAAAGAGTCTGCATTTTCATAATCCCAAAATATCCAAAACAACTTAATTAAATGGTTCATTACATAAACCTGTAATACAAAAAAGATCCAATGTTTCTAGCAAACTAATAGCCCACACCATAATCCAAAAGATAAACTTGTCACATAACAATAGTACTCAAAAGTATTACTCATGACGCCATTTTATAAAGACCTCCATGAAAAATGTTCAAATCAAGAAATGACGTCCATTGTTTGATACTTTCATATTGTCTTATTTCCTGCAATACAAATAATTGAATGAGCATAAGTATCATTTTCAATTTTAAAATGTATAAAGAAAATTATATGATCCAAACGAACTGTAAATCCTACGAGTTGTAAAGTTCTATGGTTATGGTGTAACATTAAGAATTGGTGCAAAGACAAGAGTGTTGAGGTTAAATAAGTATTTTAATAAATAAAATCATTGACATTAGCAAAATTAGTTAGTTGTCCTAACGGTTAAGTAACAGAAGGGTATTCGTAGGGCAGGTAGAACATATGTTTCTTTGCATGTTCCTTACAAGTTTATTTTGTTCACTTTGGTTGATTCTGTACCTCAATCTAGGTTGTGCAAGGTAAAAGGAAAGTCCTTAAAATTTGAAGTTCCACACTTAATAGAAGAAATGTTTTTGGTGGATGGAAGACTTGGAACCCCCAGAATTTGTATTGCTAGATGAGCCTATAGGAGTGCCAATCAACCGAGCCACTGGATTTAAGAATGAGGCATGATGTAATAATTAAAAGTATATTGGACAGTGGATGTACAGAGGATTGAAGGACAGAGTATTCCATGTTCTAGAATTTATCTATTTAGTTTTAGTTGAGTAAACAAAGGATCCTGGTCCATAATAATTGATGGTTGATCTGATATATATAACAGCAAGCAATTGCTCTTACTTTAATTTTCTGAAACTAAGAAGTAAAACATAAATATATTACCAAACTAGAGAATTCAGCAGTAAGCTTTCAGCAGTAAAATACTATTTTTCTTAGTCTGTCACTTGTGCCTTCTTTCTACTAAAATGGAGAGGGAGTATAATTCAAGACATGAACATGCTTTTGAAGGTGGTGGTGTGGAACTTGTTGCCAATTCTCTTTTTCTATATGTGTGTGTGTAAAGGTATTTGTTTTTTCTTTTTGTCGAAAAAAAAACAAAAAAAAAAAATTGAATTGGTTCAACTCATGTTCTCGGAGTATGTTGCCTCTGTGATTGTTTTTAGGCAAATAATTGAGGCAAGTTCAATTCGGTATTTAGAAACTTATTTTTAACTCAAAAAACTCAATCTCTAAAAATAGTGTGCAATGTACTAGCAATGGAATTAGTTTTAGCAAAATGGTTCTTAAAAAAGCAAAAACAAAAATAAAAATTTCAGCATAGTTGCCAGTTTTTCGTGGAAATTTCTGAATGAAGACATTCTGTTTGCATTCAATTTTAGTAAAATGCAGCAAGTAGCAACATAAAATATGTTATTGATACAAGAATTAAAATAAAATAGTTGGCTCTTAGAGGTTTGTGGTTTTAGACGTCGAATGGTTCCAAGTATGAGATAGATCTTATTCTTGTTTGTGTTTCAAATCATCCACCTACCTGAAATTTAAAAACATCTGAGTATAAATTCTTTAACAACATAAATGTTGGTTTATTGTTAATAATCACTCTTGTCAGTTATACAAGCCTGACTTCCTGTTAGTTTGAGGTGAATGTGAAGTCAACTTGCCAATATTAGCAAAATTTTGTTCGGTTGCCCAATTCTCTATTCACTGGTTTGTTTGGTGTTTTTACGGATGCCAATAAGGGAAGCAAAGTAGAGAAGTCAACCTATCAAATCCCAATTTTGTCTAAACTAACTAACAATTTAATGGTAAAGAAGTCATTAACAGTGGTTCTAAATTTGTGTCAATGTATGTGTATTGTAATGATGACTTACCCTGATTAGAAGGTTGCATTTCATGACTCCCAAAAGAGGATCTTTGATGTGTTTGTAGAGAAGCTTGGTCCGGAATGCCACTAGATCCATCTGTCGCCTAATTTATACAATACAATTTACATAAGTATGCATAAATTTAGAAAAGGATAACATATGATAAATACATCATATAAAAGAATATGTTATATGTAGTTATACCTGCAAACCACTAGAACTATGTCTCTGACTCATCAAAAATGCTACTTGCTCTTTTAAAGAGTTTATTACAGCATCTTGAGCTTGCAACTGAATACCTTGAGTTTGCAACTGATCACCTTGAGTTTTTAGTTGTTCCTTCAACTCAATTATAGTGTCTTTGTCTCTTATTCTGTCTTCATCAGAAACCATTCTTATGTGGTCAAAACTATTACACATGAAGCCATGCTTGGAAGGAGTAGGCCCAAATCCTAAACCTCGAACACGACCATGATGCTCTTTACCCATCACTTGAGAATAAATATCATTTGGTGACCAAGATATACGTCCACCAACATTTCCTTCGGAGCTGCTTGGTTGTGAGCTCATCAAAGCTTCTAGTTTTTCCTATAGCATAAATGGGGGGGAAAAAATAAGAAGACAAAGTGATTGTTTGCCACAAACACATTAGAATTTTGAAAATGTAACTTATTAAATGGGCATACAATTTTTGCAGCTGCTGCTTCATTGACTGGTGTCCCATCCTTCCTTTTGTGAAACGGTATATATAATTTTGCTCGATCTAGTGCAATCTTATCTTTTTGCTCCTATGTAACAATGATATCGTTTCAGAATAAATTTATAATACAATGTGCTAACCAAATTCAAAATATAAAACAAGGAATGAAGTTCGAAATACCATATCATATGCATGTTGTGCATAAGTTTTAGATCCTGCTGTATGTGCACTTGTTTGCTCTCGCCGGCTTTCCTTATTGGTTGTACTAAGTTCCTTCAGTCATAAATGCATAACAATATGTTTAAAAAAAATGATATAATGACATTGTATTATTTGATAGAAAACATACATCTATGCATACCTGTCCTTCCTTTGAAAACCAATACGCGACAAGGTCAGCATAGTGCTCACGATTAACTGTTAAAGGCGCAGTAGCTACTATCTGTGCTGCTGTCTTTGTCTCATCATAGTACTTTGCTTTTAAACTACATTTCCAATTTCTCCATTTCTCTCCCATTGACTTCAATGTTCGATGCCTAATCATATCCCTTCTCTCATCTTGAGGAATGGCAAACTTGGACTACAATTGTATGTTTTTTCATGTTATGAACATTCTTAAAATTATCAATACAATGATATAAACTAAATTTGTGCATTTCTTTGCCTAATTCTCATATTTTTATTTTTACTTCAACTATAATAGGATGGAAGATTGTCTTTTTCACATGCATATGATCTCTCTTATAGTAGAATTATCACAAATACTTGTAGTTAGAAAATTACCTCAATAATATTCCAACAATCTTCTTTATACTGATCTGGCACTTCATGCCAATTCTTGTACTTAATTGGGCATAAGTGTGGCTTCCTAGCAATGGTACCTATGAAGCGACTGAATATACCACCCTCTGTAGAAACAGCCTGCAAATCCTTGTTGAAGGTGAGCATAATGCGTTCTTCTGGAGTCAAATTCCACACTTCAACCATACGTGTAATTCCCCGCGTGTTTCGCTTGGTCGATTCATCTATTACAATACAACAATGAAATATAACATGGAAATGAAGATTGACTTGTAATTTGTACCTCAACTAAAAACATAATAATACCTGTACGTTGCATTTCTTCTTCCCTTAACCAGTCCTCATCTAAATCATCTTCAAACTGAGGGTTAACCTCTGATTCTTGAGGTTGAAGGTGTAGAACATGTGATGGAGCATGTGAGGAAGGATGTAACCAACTAGGTTGTGAAGAGCCATTTGATCAACTAGGCTATGAAGTTCCATTTGGCCGATTAAGCTGTGAAGAGGCATTTGAACGACTAGGTTGTGAAGTTCTATTTGGCCTGTCCAGCTGTGGAGAGCCAATTGAGTGACTAGGTTGTGAAGTTCCACTTGGTGCGTTAAGCTGTGAAGGGTTATTTGGTTGGCTAGGCTGTGAAGAGTTATTTGACTGGCTAGGTTGTGAAGAGCCATTTGATCAACTAGGCTATGAAGTTCCATTTGGCCGATTAAGCTGTGAAGAGGCATTTGAACGACTAGGTTGTGAAGTTCTATTTGGCCAGTCCAGCTGTAGAGAGCTAATTTAGATTTTGAATTTGAAGATGATTATTTGGATGAAGCTCGCAGGAGGGAGCGATTGGAAACTATTTAAAAACTTTCTTTAACAAAATATTAGATAGACAGTCTAATATCTGTTTCAAAAGCAGTTTCTAATATTCATGGCTCAGCAAAATTGCCATTTATGGTCACATATGGTAAAATACTATTTGTAACTCATTTTTTCATAACATATCAAAGGTCTCCTACACAAATTAATGAGGCTCTTGACATGTTATTAAATCTCAAAAAGAGAAATAATTTGAATCTTCCATTGGAACCAGCCATGACCGCGGATGATGTAAAACATTTTCAGAATGAACAATACGGCTAGATCCTGACTCCCCTCCATCAGAGACTGATGAAGAGTATCACAATCTCATCAACGGGATGGAATATAGTGGACCCCACTATCACATGCAACTGTCTCCTGATCGACTCCAACATTATCTAGGACACGTGGAGCAATCTGCATTATTAGGCAAAAAGTGGTTAGACAAAAGATCAGCCAAATCTTATCTGTTTTAGTCTATCCATTTGAAAATCGGGGAGGGTAGATAGTGTATATAATTGTAGTTTGTTAGAATATGGCCAATAATGGTAGGTTTTTATTTATTTTTCTCAAGACTTTTTTGATCTTGTATTTATTTTTTGTAGAACTTTTGTCCAAACCTATGTCTAGGCTTATAGCCTTTGGAGGAAAGGTGCAAAATTTTGGCCGTATTGGTGTGCTAATTTTCTACAATGTAATAATGTTAGGATAGACTAGGATGACTTTATGATTTTGTTTGTATATGTAAGATGTATTCTATAAATTGACTTTTAAGCCAACATAATAAACAATATAAATTCTCTCCATCCTCTTGTTTCCTACTTCGTCTCTAACTCCATAATTCCATCATAATTCCATAATAACTCCATCATAATTCCATAATAACTCCATCATAATTCCATAATAACTCCATCATAATTCCATAATAACTCCATCATAATTCCATAATAACTCCATCATAATTCCATAATAACTCCATCATAATTCCATAATAACTCCATCATAATTCCATAATAACTCCATCATAATTCCATAATAACTCCATCATAATTCCATAATAACTCCATCATAATTCCATAATAACTCCATCATAATTCCATAATAACTCCATCATAATTCCATAATAACTCCATCATAATTCCATAATAACTCCATCATAATTCCATAATAACTCCATCATAATTCCATAATAACTCCATCATAATTCCATAATAACTCCATCATAATTCCATAATAACTCCATCATAATTCCATAATAACTCCATCATAATTCCATAATAACTCCATCATAATTCCATAATAACTCCATCATAATTCCATAATAACTCCATCATAATTCCATAATAACTCCATCATAATTCCATAATAACTCCATCATAATTCCATAATAACTCCATCATAATTCCATAATAACTCCATCATAATTCCATAATAACTCCATCATAATTCCATAATAACTCCATCATAATTCCATAATAACTCCATCATAATTCCATAATAACTCCATCATAATTCCATAATAACTCCATCATAATTCCATAATAACTCCATCATAATTCCATAATAACTCCATCATAATTCCATAATAACTCCATCATAATTCCATAATAACTCCATCATAATTCCATAATAACTCCATCATAATTCCATAATAACTCCATCATAATTCCATAATAACTCCATCATAATTCCATAATAACTCCATCATAATTCCATAATAAAAATAGTAAAAAGCTCATTTTCTTATATATGTTCTAGCTCAAAAATATTATATATATTTAAATGCTGTTATAATAATAAAAAAAAAAAAGAAATCACGCATGAATTGTTAGCTAGGTGTTGATTCTATGATCCTAACGACTTGGGTTTAAAACTTGGTTAGCTCGTGGAGAGTCGTTTTTCACTAACAACATTTAACCAAAAAAAAAACTACTAATTTAGGTCAGCCCGAGCACGGCCTGAAACCAAGGAAAGTGTTTGTCGATTGGGCTGAACTTGTGCCTAAGTGAGTGAACATAAGTTTGGGGCCCAGCCCGATTAACAAGCCTAGCTATTTGCTCTGGTACTAATGTTTTTGTTCAAGATACTTTTTCCTATGCATAAATGGCCAACTATTTGTAATGGTTTAGTAAAAATTCTACATGAATTTACATTCCATCTTTGCCATTGATGCCAAGCTTGAAAAGTCTTAAAAAGAGAAAAGCTAAAGAAACATCATACATGCACAACTGACACCTAAACCTTCCAAAGCAAATTGCCCAGCTGATACATGCTTTAGCCATCATAATTTCTTGGCCTTCAATTGATACACATGTTCATCTAGAAAATTGTTGTTTTAATTATCATCACTTCTAATTTTATTTCCCAGTGCCCTAGCATCATTGATACCAAAAAATTGGGCAACCATTAGAGTCATCATTGTGATCTGCTGAATGGACTCCCACCCTTAGATTTCTTGTGTGTTAATAGTATTTCTTTTATTCTGTATGTTTTTGCCTGTCATTTAGTAAAATATTACATTGTTTTAGGTGGGTGGTTCATTGCCTTGTGTAGACCATCTTATTTGTAGCCAGCTTCTTGAACTTTTATCTATTCTGTATCTTTCTTGACTTTCAGGGGGGCAAGTGTAACTCAAATTCTGATGCCAAAACTCATAATGGTTTGCCCAATTTAAAGAAATATATTACAGAACCCTATTTTGAGAAACAAGATAGCTTGCTCGACTCTGATTTCCAAAATTTCATAGCAAACAATCTTCCCCTTGGCTTGTGTGGACTGCTGCAAGAAAAACTCAATCTTGTGCCAAGTCTGTCTGTCTGTTCTGAAACGCCATCTAATTGGTGAAGGTTCTCTTCGTTGCTTATCTTCGTCCGTCAGACTGAGCATCCGGCCAGAGTCCATAGCTGAGCTCCCCAGACACTTCTGCAAAATCATAATTGTAGAAAGACTGCCCTCGGGTATTTTTGCAGATCCATTTGAGCTCCAACATCTTCTCCAGCATGGTGGTAAAGTATTTTCCTTCTTCTTGATACGAGGTTATAATCATAGTTCTCATTTCAGTGGTATATGAGTTTGTACTATTTGATGCAGTTTTTACAGATGCTGCTGTTTTTGGAGAAACAAATTTGGAGTTACCCATAGTTGTTTCAAATCAATCAGCTGTTGAGGTTCGCGTTGGTAATATTATTATATCAGGACATAACAATGGACTCGAAATCAATATTGAGAACTCTTGGAATTTTTAAAAAATGGGGAAATAATTTATTGGGAAGTTATATTAATTTTTTACTAGGATTGTTCATAGAGTCTCCTACTCATTAAATGTATCTCAAATCTCCATTTTTCTGGTTAGTAGATCATCGTTCGTGAAGATGGTTGTTTTCCAATAACGTCGATATTAAAAAACATACAGAAAAAGAAAAAGAAGATTGTATAAAGTATATGAGGTTTATAGAAGCTCCTAAGCACCTTAAAACTTCGAAACAAAGCATGCCTTATTTAGATATACCCAGTATGACCTGACCTACATGATTGTGGGTAATGGCATAGCATCGGGTGTGCCCAGTATGACGTGTATCAACAACTCTATGTTGTAATTGAAATTTATTGAACATGACACTTTCTTATCACTCTCCCTTTGCACATGATTGCTTCCAAAAAAAGAGGGGGGGAACAGTGCGCATACTAACAGTCCATTTCGGCAGAAAATATTTTCATGGGAAAACATTTTGCTGTGTTTGGTTGCAACCTAAAAAATACATACTAGTGGTTTTGTGATAGTGGAGGTGTTGGCGTGGTTATGATGGCAGCAGTGGTGGTGGTGGTTGTGTAGTGATGGCATTAGTAAGACTTTAGTTCAGAAAATATATTCTGCCCAAATCAACCCATTTTCCGTTGACCATAGAAAACGTTTTCTGTTGACTTTCATTTTTCGTCATACCAAATACAAAAAAATGGCAAATATATTTTAAACAAAAACTTTTTTCCTTCAAAACAAATGGAACATGAAGAAGACAACCTCCATAATGTACAAGCACACACCATTTTACAATAGGAACTAAAAGAAGACTTCAGCAATCTGAATAATTAGCGTTATCCCCTTGCTCTTGAATTTGGCTATAGGGTAAATTCAACACCTAGCCAACACTCCTAGACGAATCAATGAGACCTAGTTTCCAATGTAGGAATTGTGTTGAATACTTGCTAGTGCATCCTCATAAGTTTGCTTACAAAATATTGATGTTTTTTTGCAGCCTGTAGGCAAACATGGCTTTTCAATAGTCGAATTTGGCAGACCTGACCTATTCATACTCTGCAACATTGACGGGAAATCACAGCTTGACAGCTGTTTATTTACGCAGACTGGTAGCAATTCAAAATCCCAAGCTCTTGTTGTGTGGGAAATACCTTGTGCAATCAAGGAACACTCTGGAGTTGTCTCTGTCGTTACCTTTATTTCAGCTATTGTATCGGCTATTTTAATTGTCGTGGCATCTATTTATTATTCAGATACTCAGACATTTGCAGTGATCTGAAACCACCTCTATTTATTCCTTATTTTTTCTTAGCGTGATCACTTGCTGAATCCAAAACCGGTGCCATTGAGTCCAAATTATTTCTGATATCAAGGGACAAAACAGTGCTCCATCTATTATCTAATTGATGTATATGCACTTAAATTGTCCTGATATCCATTGTTATGCGGATAACATGGTGAAAAACATAGGTTCCTATTTTCATTTACCATTTTCCTTGGCATGATGACTTCATATTTGTGGAAAGCTTACTGCTGAAACATGGATATATTTCATGTTATCACACACAGAGAGAGAGAGAGAGAGAGAGATGATATATACACATTCCTTTTGATATCTGATTGCAATTTCAACCAAAAGTAACATACAAAGCGACTCTTTTCAAGCATCACATGACAATCCAAGTGAATGCAAAGGTGTGACCGACTCGATTACAAACAGTTCAATTTCAACAGCTAAGCATTATGACGAGAATGCCTCAGAAGAATAATTTTTTACCGATAGCGATGTAACAAGCTGTGTTACACTCCAAAAAACCAGAAAACAATTTACAAGACACAACACAAACGCCCACCCTGCAAAATAAAAACAAGTTAATGTCATGAAATACAACAGAACTCTAGAATTCCTCCACCAAAAAAAAAAAAAATTAGAACTCTTGGATTCAAAAGATCCACATTTCAGTCAGGATTGATGACTTTGTAAGACAGCATGAACCAATAAAGATATCAGTTGAGAGATAGCATCCTGTTCCTGGGCAGATTCCGAGCTCACTCTTACTATTGAAGGGAAATATATTTCTGATCAAGCCACAAGTACTATGACCACGATAATAATCACAATGCCAAATATCACCAAAAGCAAGCAGGCCTGTGTTGAGGACAAAAAGTTAATGAAAGATGCATGAAATTTTTACATGGTGAAGAGTAATATGCAGGCCTGTGTTGAGGACAAAAAGTTAATGAAAGATGCATGAAATTTTTACATGGTGAAGAGTAATATTCAAGATAGAACTGTGAGAGGAGGGGTGTGGGTGTGTGCGTGTCTTTTAACAGATAATTTATTATTTGAAGACACAGAGATACAAATGTTCACCCAAAGAGTACCCTCAATGGCAGCAATGGCATAACAATAAAGTCAACCCTAACATAATTGTAATAACTACACCCCCCCTTTGATCAGCCAAATACTAAATCATGATAGATTCAAATGGTTTTCAGACTACGGATCTATCGTTGGGCTGTTAAAGGAATCCTACCATAGCAATGCCCACAATTCATGGTGCCTCACACAACATCATAAATTCTTGTGAAGTCAAAATTTTAAAACAAATCACTGCAGGAGTACATTTGAAGTTGACCGAAGCACTGATACTATGGTCTAAATGGCCTTCTCATTGACAGAAGTGACCCAACATGTCAATTGCATGATGATGGAACCAACTAACCCTTTGGCATTCCAAGTTTAAAATCTAAACAAAAATTATATGATTTTCAGGATACAGACTGTTCAAGTGGGTCTTCCCAAACAAAGCCTGTAAGCCTGCAAGTAATAGTAGTGCCTCACATGTTGCCAAATTTTTTTAGCAAACAAAAGACTAAGGACTAGCACTGGCCATAAAATTACCAGAGATGAGTTTGACCGTTGGGTCTTTGCGGCTTGTACAAGTTGGGATTTTCCCTGTGCAGTTGCAGCATGAGAGCCCGCAATATTGGAGCCAATATCATCTGAAAGACAATTTTTCATGGCATTTAACAACATGAACCAGAAGTAAAACCACGCAAATGTAGAAAGAGTAGCAAGGGCCTAACTTACCAATCATAACTCCTTGTTCATGGACTAGCACAGCAAGGTCTTTAAAAATCTCATTCACCTCCCCAATTTGTTGCTGGATTTCTTGTATTCCCTGCTCTCTTTCTTCAATGATAGCATCATTGAAGGAAATCTCATTGTCTAACAGCAAAACCTCTTGCCTGTAGCACAAATTACGCAGGAGCTAAGAGCACTAGATTTCATGAGGATAGAAAACCGAGTTTTTCTATAGGTTGAAACTGAATCAGGTTAAATGCAGGATCAGTTTAAAGTAGATTTGCCACACAGCATATGATAATTTTACTTCCCAAATTATCTTCCCAATAGAAATAAAATAAAACATGTCTTCATTGTTTTCTTGTGATTCAGTCAGTCATCCACCACATTATCTCTGACCTCCAGCTGCTACCGCTCACCATTTTTCTGCCGAGGCCCCATGTTGACACACAGCCATCTGCATAACTTGCTAATATATACTTCTTTTTTTTTTATTTATCAATAATCTTTTAAGATAAGTTACATAGACCTCCAATCCAATTTTGTGGTCTCTTCCAATCTGTTCTCTCAACCATCAGCACCTCATCTTCTGTAATCATGTCTTCTTTGTTCTTCTTGATGTGCCTTCACACAGATATCATCCTCTCAATCATTTATGAGCTGGGTACGCTGAGTCATGGTGAGATTGATGGGGAACATGGAGATTGTGATTTAGTATGAATGCACAGTTCGGTATACAATGGTGCTGCAGTAGGGGTCATCCTCAATGGAACTAGGTCAATATGTAGGGGCTGAAAGACACCCACCCCACGGTTGTCCCTACTCAGGATGTACATTGAAGAAACCATCAGAGTTGTAGCTTTGTATTGTATCCCTTTTATGTTGGTGAATGTGAAGTACATCTTTCAGAAAAGAGGGAAAGGGAGAATATGCCTTTCAAAATTTTCAATACAATTTAAGCTAATTTAGAATGTGTTTTTGTGTAAAGTCTCAGTTATTCAACAAACCTAATAATTGAAATAACCCTTAAAAACCAAATAATTTTTTGAAACCTAAGTTATAACCTGGACCAGTATCAGATAAACCAGATACATCATAAAGGTAGAAGGAAATTGTGTGCCAGTCAGCTTGGAGCTTCCCATAAAGAAATTTTAAACACATGCAAATATATGCACAAGCCTTACCACATCTAGCATCAACGCCAATAGCTCACCCTAAGGAACATATCTATGGACACGAGGAATAGACACAAAATGATATGGACACATCATTGTTCCGAAAAAATGAAATAAAAAAGATCAACACAACAGGGACATGGCAACTAGATATCTATTTATATGTTTTATAGGAAAGAACACCTATTAGTTTATTTATTGCGTGACAAATGAATTTATAACTTTAACATGAAAAGTAACGAAAATAAATTATTTTCTACATTTTAATCCTGAAAAATAAATGGGAACAAAAAAGCACTAATGTCTTACTCTTTTTTTTGGGTACATACTAATGTCTTACTTTAAAAAGCCCCAAGGCTTTACGAACACAAAAAACTATTAGGGTTTAGGTTTCAAAAATTGATAAGCCTAGAAGAGATACTAATACATATACAAAAACTTTATTTTGATTTTAGTTTTTGGCCTCCATTTTGTTCTTTTTCAAGTGTGTATGTTTTCAAAGGCTCATAGCATGTTCAACTTGAATAATAAAACAATATCACATTTGGACGCATATTCAACAGGTGTCAAGGCTTGTCCAACAAGTGTCAAGTTAATCAACATTAAGGTATTTGCAATTTATTACTTTACATAAACCTAATACATATGCATCAAATATTATTTAGCTCCAGATATACTAATTAGAACAATAACTAGAAAGAGCAAAATTATTATAACTCACCTTCTAGATTCGACGAGAACAGCACGTTGTTCTGGACTCCTACTTGAACTTACTTCGACCTCACTGGATGTGTAGCTGTTCATAGAATATAATCAAATTCAAATCCATAACATAAACAGCATGGAAAAATGGAAGTTTTCATTTTTAAGTACAAGAAATATGGTCGTCTGTCTATGTTTTTTTGATAAATAATATGGCTGTCTCTCTACATAACAGATTAAACAATCACATTTGATGGTCATGTAAATGAACATCCCAAAACTACTTTGTGGACACAATCCATGAAGTTAGTTTCAAACCTAACCATGTAAATGCAAAACCTCCAACACTAACTACCTCAAAGGCAGAGCTGCTTGGGGAACAAAAGGAGCATATGCTGTCTCCCTTTCAGCTGCAAGCCGCTGAGCCTTCTGGAACTCTTTCAAAACTGCTTGGAAATCTTTTGCAAGTTTAGCATCAGTAATCTTCTTGCTGGCCTGCATTTAAAAGGATTGCATTCAACACACAGAGGGAGAGAGTTAAAAAAGGGGCCTCCTTCAGCCACTTCCGCTAATTAATTCTATCAAGAAATTAAAAGAATTGGCAAATGCCATCTCAAATGGAGGCACTACAAAGTCTGCGTATAGTACAGAAGTAAACACAGGAGACCCTTTATGAACTAGATTACAAAAGTAAGTGAAAGTCAAAGACAAACTTACACTAACGTCAATACGGTGATCGGTCTCACTAGCTTGCTTAAGTTTAGCTGAAGTATCCTTCACCAATTGCCCAATATGTAACCTTGTCTTGTGCCTGCCAGATGAAAAACAAGCTATAACGACCACCCAAATGAAAAAGTCCAAAAGTGAGAAGCTACTCATTCCCAGGATTCCATGGACAAACATGAGAAGGCATCAAAAGGGATGCCACTCATATACAACTAAGAACAAACCAATTTTGAAAAACAGATTACGTAAAGGCCGTAACGAGCGTTACATTGCCGCTACAACACCATTACAACCATTACGCTTCTATTTTTTTAATTTTTTTTAATAAAATTTGTATATGCTGCTATTTTCTCTTTTTATTTGCGAGTTACATAGAACTTAAGTAAAAATTTTATCTATTCATGTTTTGAATGTCCAATCTTCAAGTTCTACTAGATTTCATCACTTTTTTACTTAACTATATTTGAATATGAACTTATATCTATTTCTCCTATGTTAAAAGTTATTGAACAAAATTTAGATTTCATGTTTATAATTAGTAAAGTATAAAATAAAAAAAATAAAAAAATCTAACAATAGGAAAAAATTTCATAGCAACTTAAAATAATATACAAATTAGTATATATATATAGGATCATGTTTTAAAACTAAACATAAATATTGAAAATCATTTTGAACTTCACTAAATATGATTCTGAAATAAAAACATGGGTATCGGTATGTTTTCTTAAAGTTGTGCAAAGAATTAAAAAATTCACGGCTCCAGTTGCCGCCACCATTATCCTACGGCTGTTACACCCCGCAACCACGTCAGCATTACCACTACCGTTACGGTAACCGCCACCGTTATTTAAAACATTGGTGAAGAGGCTCTTAAATCGTTCTAATGCTTGTTAATTCATAACCTCTACTTCCTACCTTCAAGGTTTTGGTAGCAAAAGAAAATTGGGTATAGCAAAGAGACAGATAAAGATTCCACTTGGGCATGATAAGTTAGTCAGAGAGAGGAATGGGTAGAGTATCAAAAAAAAGAATATATAACTCTCACATCATCTCCTTATTGCCAATTTGAAGCTTTAGATGGGATTCCTTCTCATGTTTTAGCTTGTAAGGGGACCTTGGAAATCATTTTGCATAAATTTAAATCTTCATAGCAAGGTTTTGAAAAGCGGTTGCGGTCGCCGTAACGGTGGCGGTGGTGCGGTTGCGGTTGCGGTTGCGGAGTGTAAAGGCCGTAGCGTAACAATTGTGGTAACCGGAACCGTGAATTTTTTTATTTTTCGCACAATTTGAAAAAAACTTACCAATACGCACATTTTTTTTTCATGATCATATTTATTGGGTTTTAAAATAAATATTGATCAATTTTTATAAATTTTTAAGTTTGATCCAATATATTTCATATTTTTAAATAACTATAAATTGAGTTTTTTACATTTTATTTTAATAGCTAATGACTTTATATTATACAAAAAATCAATCAGTAACTATTGTATATAAGATAAACAATGACAAATCCAAGAGAATAAATAAAAGCCTAAATATATATATATATATATATATATTAATTAAGCCAAATAGATAATGACCACACTTATTATTATTATTATTATTATTATTATTATTATTATTAAACAATATATAGATAGACACACACAAACAAAATGGTTGAATGATAGCAGCGGAATAAAACAGCATAGGTCTTACAATTTCAACAAATCAATAACATGTTCTTCATCTTCCCTATTCTCTCTCTCTATCTCTTAATCCTCCATCTTCCCTCTTCTCTCTATCTCTCTTCCCCATTTTTCAACTTTTTTTTTTTTGTGTTTTTTCAAAAGAGGCAATTCAGAACCATTACGTAACGGTGCGTAACAGGCCGTTACGGCACCGTTGTGACCGCTATATCAGCCGCTGCGGCCGATATATCTGTGAATCTCAATCACACTGCAAAAGCGGCCGTAACGGGTGGCGGTAACTACCACAACCGTTACATAACAACGTTATGTAACGGTTGCGGCCGCTTTTTAAAACCGTGCCTAAACCCATTAGTCTTTTAACAATTTTCTTGTATTTTGTTTCTCATATGATCCTGCTCTTGCTTTCACAAACTCACACTTAATGTAATTGCAGACTTTAAGAGTGTTGCCTCCCTTGAACTCTAGTGATTCCGTGGCTCTGGACATCTCATACGATCTACCTGATTCAAAGAATATCGGAATTGACTGGATCCGTCAAGAACCTAGGGATTTAACTACACAAAAATTCAAGCATAGTGATGTTTATAGTTCTAATGCTTCATACGATTTACCTCAATCAGAGAATATGGGGAATATGGATATCGGAATTGACAAGATCCGTCATGAACCTTGGGTTATCATAAACTCGGATTTAACCAAACAAAAAATCAAACAGAGTGATCTTTATAGATACTAACATGAGAGAGCCTCAGCTACACCCATAAATCCTTATTCAAAACTCTTAGTTCATATCTGTAACAAAACCAACTTGACCCAATTGCTTAATCGCACCCAAAAAAAATAAAGAAATAAATAACAATTCACCAAGATAAAATCACAATTCGAAAAATTGAAAAAGGAAGATCATGAAAGTAGAGAGATGGCACTCACAATTTCTCACGGAGCTGTGGGGTGTCCTTGGGGGTTCCGAGGGTATTGACGAGCCTCTGAAACGTGGAGACAGCGGTGTTGATCTGAAAAATCCCCGAAGCAACGGCTTGAGTGGGGTCTTGATTGCCATTGAAAGGGTCTCGCCTTGAATTCAACGGACGACCCGCTTCAATATCTTCAAAGCTCATATCTTTCAACCCTAACGAATAATCTGAATATATATATATATATGTATATGTTGTGTGAATGTAGAGGGGGGGGGAAGGGGGGGGGAAAGAGAATTCTGGAAACCCTACTTGCTGGATTTAGGGGAAAATCAATGAGAGAGAGAGAGAGAGAGGACAATCATTTGATGGACCTGATAGAGGGTGGAGATACGTGTGCTCTGGTGACGGCACGTGGATGTGTGAAGGACGGTAAAACAAATCAGAATGCTCTCTTTCATTTCTCTTCATTTCTTATTTGCTGGGTTATTAATTTTCATGATTCAAATTATTTATATTTTAAGATTTGTTAAGTGTATTATATTTATAAAAAATTAAATTAATTGAATATTAAAATCTATGTGTTCAGATTATCAAATTACAAATTATTTTTTTTATAAATTTAATAAGTAATTTTTTGAATACATGCTTTTTAATATTCGATCAATTTAATTTTTTACAAGTATGATATACTCGATAAATCTTAAAATGTGAATGATTCAGATTATTAAAATTGAGCCTAAAAGTAGGCTTACCCAACAAGTAAAGAGTTAAGAAAAGAGATGAACGAGAGAATCCTCGTTTGATTTTGAAATTTTTAAAAATAATTTTTGAACTTTTACTTCTTATTTTTTTTGTTTTTAATAATATTTTAAAATATTTTAATTTTTGTTTTACTTGTCAAATTTATTTTTGAAAAATATTTAAAAATTCACCAAATATTAAAAATATATAAAAGTTCAACACAAAAATATATTTTTTATTTAGGGTTCGTTTGGGAAGTGGGTTGGTTTTTAGCTTTTTGACTATTTTAATCTGGGACTAAAAAACCTTGTTTAGGAAGAATTTTTTGGATTTTTTAACTTTTTGTGAGAGAAATAATGTAATGATATAGGTTGAATGTGATATTTTGATTAAAAAACTTATTTTGTCTTTTTGTGACTAAAATAGCTTCAAACCCAACCCAACCTAACCTATCTTCTTAAACAAAGGCTCACTCTGTTTGAATTCATATTATTTTCTCTTTTTATGGAATAAATAATTTGTAGAATATAAACAAACTCGAACTATTTAAATTTTTATGAAGGTATAAATGTGAGAATTGTGTCACTTATCTCGGATACAAGTTCAGTTGTACTTTCATGAAAATAAAATTATTTTGACTTTTTATTTAAATATAATTTTTTATATTTTTATTTTTGTCAAACTAGTTTTAATTTTTTTTTTATAAAAAAAGCAGAAAAATAAGTTCTGAAAACTCAACTAAATATAAATCAGTGTATTTGATTTAAGTTTTCTGAAATTTTTTTGAAAATTAACTTTTTTGATTTTCGTATTTTTTTGTTTTTAGTGAATATTTTTAAAATTTTAAACATTTTTTTTACTTTTTTGATACACCTTACTTAGATGTATCTAAAAAGTAAAAAATTTTTGAAAAAATATTTTAAAAAATTAATAAATACATAAAAATATAAAAATATGTACTGAATTCTTGTATTTTTTTGTATTTTTGGTGTTTAGTGAATTTTTAAAATATTTTTTTTACAATTTTTTTACTTTTTAATTGTATTTATGTTAGATGTGTCTAAAAAGTAAAAAAATTTACTTAAAATATTTTAAAAATTCAGTAAAAACAAAAAAACACAAAAAATAAAAAAGTAAAATTTTCTTAAAAGTATTTTTTGAAAAATAGAAATAAGCAAAATCTCTCTAAAATTTATGTTTAATGATTTATCATTTTTCTTATTAAAATATACCAAGCATAAGTTTGACAATATTTTCGCTCTCCCATGTTGCCCACAAATAACATTTCATTTGATAGTTTGTGACAAAATAACTAAATAAAATGACAATTATATTATTAAAGCAAAATTACCAAATTACAACATTTTAAAAAGTAGTATGTCAATTTTTATTTTTTTATGTTTTTTTGTGTGTGGATGTGAAGTGATATTCTCATTTTTAACTTTGTGGGAGGTTCTAAATATACTTAACAAATCTTATTCTAAACTAAAATGTACAAGGATTTGTCCTTAAAATATAAGAATTACAGTATGTGATGACAGCAAAGAGAAAATAAATGAGTATACATAGGTGTTATTTGGCAACTTGAATTTTGGCTAAAATAGTTAATAAAGATAAATAAAATAGTTAATAAAATAAAATGTCACATGTTACACATCACTCAATAATTTTTTCTCTCACAACTATCTATTCAACTATAATAATAAAAAAAAAAAAAAACATAAATCATACCAAACACTTTTTTTTTATCTCATAAAATAGTAAAAAAGTCAACTAAAATAGCCAATTTTCTAAACGAGGCCTTAGAATATTTCAACTTGTGTACATGTTTTTTTGAAAGTGTAAATTATGCTTTCACCCTCTAAACATATAATTATTTCATCACTTTGTCCTAAAAAAAAATGTCATTTAACTTTGATCCATCAAGTATCTATCATTTTCTACATTGATCAAATTACCAACATCTTCTACCAAAAAAAAATTTCTTGAGTGAAAAATGCGACTTGCATGAAATAATTCTAACCCTATCTCATTTCTTCACCAAACCATGATTTCACCATGGCACATCTACAGTGAAAATTAAAATACCACTCATTTTCCCCGGACACTTTTCCTAACAAGCCATCTTTTGACCTTTATTTTTTACCACTATCATCTCCGAACTACCCAACTCTTACCAGCACTCCTTTTTACCAATTTTGAACTGCTAACCCTTGCTATCGACACCACCTTCGAACCACCCAAATCCCACCACCACCTCCAAACTCCCAACCTTTACGACAACACCTAACCTCCATACCCACACCACCATTAAACCAAAAACCACCATGCCTTTCAAATCGGCCCATTCCTAAGACTTACACACATACATAGGCCAACAACTTTAATTGGTCTGTAAACTATTAAAATATGACGTAGAAAGTGTGGATCGTAACTATCTAAAAAAATTATAGTTGTTGATTTACCGAAATAAAGTGAAATGGAATGATAATTTTATTAAAAATTTCATTTTCATATTTGGTTTGACTAAAATGATGATGAAAAATATTTTAGAAATGAAATCATCATGCACCTCACAATGGAATTATCAGTCCATAGAAGAGCGAAAGGAATGATTATTTTATTCAATTCTATCTCATCTTAATAAACTAAATAGAACATAAAGTAGTATTTGGTTTACTATAATGAAACATAATAGAATGATTATTTTATCAAAATATTTATTTCTATGTTTGATTAACTAACAAAATAATGATAAAATATATTATAAATGGAATCATCATTAACTATTTTAAATAAATAGTTATTCTTATTCTATATGAGAGTCTAGGCAATAATCATTTTATTTTATTTTAACTTGTCTCAGTAAACCAAATAGAACCTAAGGCCCCGTTTGTTTTGGGAAATAGAATGGAGGAGATTGATAGTGAGGGGATTAATAGTGAGAGAATTGATAGTGAGGGGATTCATAGTGAGGGGATTAATAGTGAGGAATTGTTAAATTATTTTTATATAAAATAATAAAACAAATAAAAAATATAAAAATTAAACATTAATATTTAAAAAAAATTCCCAATATATAAAAAATAAAAAATAATAAAAAAATTTCTAATCCTCTCACTATTTTTCTAATACCATCTCTACATCCTCCTTACCAATCCCCCTTCCTCCTCCTTACTAGTCTCAAGGGATTATTAGTCTCCTCTCTATCTCTCAAAACAAACACTCCATTCTCAATCTCCTCCTCACTATTAAATCTAATCCTCTCCCTATAAACCCAAACAAACGGACCTAAGGATATTAATGAACCCAACTATACACAACAGCAGGTACCTGGCCTGCAGACGGGCTTGTGACAGTTTATTGGGTTGGGCTTATGTGTGGGGCCACGAGCACCTCCGAAGTTTGCCCGAGTTCAACTATAGTTATGAACGTAAAAATTATATAATAATAACATTTTATATAATTACTAATGATAACATTAAAAACTTATGATCTACTCAAATTAAAAATTCAAATAACTATAAAAAAAATTAATAGTAATTAATTTTCATTTATTGTCGCTGATTTGCAAGTCACTCAAAAATAAATAAATAATGTTATATGTATTAATTGGTATATCAATTATTGTACTAACAGATGATATGACATAATTTTAGAGGTTTTAAATATTTGCAGTTTATATAATAGGTAGGATCATAATTTTAAAGTGACAATGTCATAGTATATATTGATACAATAATTAATATACTAATTAATACGTGTAACACCACGAAAATAAATAGCATGTTGTATTCATACATAAGATTTGACTTTTTGTGCATTGGATTGGTGAAAAGTATATTAATTTGATAATTGTAATCACATACTTTAATCATATTTATTTTTAAAAAAATTTAAAAATTTCACATTTGTTAGAAAAAAATAAATGATAAATATAATTTTAAGAAATAAATATGATTAAATAGAGTGGATACAATTATCAAATCAATTTATTCATTTATTTTGTAAGTGTGAAGAAGTGGTTTGGAAATACTCTTGGATCCTGAGGGACGTTCCTAATCCTCTGATTGCCACCTAAAAAATGGATTAACACTCCGGTCGAGGATGCCGGAATTAGCACTCCGACGGACAAGTTAGTATATATCTCTCATTTGCTTGTGTCTTAAGTTTCTTGGGTCTGTTCTCACATACCTCTATTTGGTTGATGTTCCTCTATTTATATTCGCTTTTGGACCCTAGGTTCAGGCCCACTCTTAATCCATCGCATGATTGCTCATTTGGCCCTTCTGTCGTATGCCAATTCCCACTCGGCTTTTTGTTCAACTGGCTCTATAGTTGATTAATCTATTCGGCTTCAAGATCATCCAGGACGAAGCCGAATATAAAATATATCCTGATTTTCTTTAGATTCAATCGGCTTTCCTGTATGTATCGATATTCGGCTCCCACAATTGCCCCATAAATATCTTATTAACACCAGTTAGTCGGCATGTTTGGTTTCAAACTTGAAAAGTCAAAAAATA